TTTCAATAACAATTCAGAATGTGTAATAGTAGCCAATTTTGAATGAGACAACATCAGAGAAATATCACTTCCAACATAATTCCACTCATTGGTATTATTAAGCATGTTTCTTTAGGATTTATGAGAAATATATCTTGGAGGTACTGTATATATACAGGCACTTAGCTGCATTATTCAGAGTCTAGTTTAAGTCTTCAATGTAGAAGGTGCAGATGACATGCAATCAATTGAGATTGATACACTTTCAGAAATTTCTTATTACTAAGAAAAATGTTGAGTCTTGCCAGCAAAGTTATTTTCACAACTATGTTATGGTACCTGAAGTTATTCTGGGGAAGAAATTAGAATTTCTACCTGTATATACTTCCGCATAGTTGATTCATTGCATTCTGCGCTCAACATCACAATATTACAGTACATTAATTTGTTTGCCAGATAAAAACAATGGTTCAAAATAGTTCTAACAGTCAGTCAGAGCTTGGACCAAGTCATAGTTTCTTTAGAAATTTAGCTACCTTTGGGAGCTAAACACAAAAAAGTCAAGGTCACAGATCATATAGACAAGTTGCTTTTATTACAGAAAAAAGAAGCCCAGCTAACAAGATCACTTATTGTAGAACCTAGCTATTCATTTATATATGAATCCCAAGTTTTATTTTGTATCCCTTTCATTTGCCCCTAGGTGATAATGGGCTTAATTTCTCGGTTTTATACATGGAGAACAATTGCTCCATGTTTTGATAACAATCCTATCTGGTTTCAGGCTCTTGGATTCCAATCTTGGCAACTTAATTCATTATACAATGTAGGACAGCTAGTATAGAAAATACTGAATGGTTTGATATGTAAGATGGACAGCCATATCAATTTTCAAAATAAATAATTTTTCTAAACAAATCCAAGTTGATCACTTGGCAAAAAGCACCTGGAAAATGACATTGTTATTTCCTGTCCAATTTGAACTACATTGAGCTGTCATTGAGGAATTTACTCTTTTTGTTTAATGACTGTAATATTTTATTTAGTTTCAATCATTACCTCATCATCATCTGAAACCAGCAACCAGGCCATGCAAACAAGCGAAGCCCCATCCACAGGATGCAGGCAGCATACAAAACCACACCTGCTCTGGTCCATGGAAAAACCTCGCTACCCGGAACCGATATCTGGTGCCCAAAAGGTTGGGGGACACTGTCCTATACCAAACCCAAAAGTAATAGATTGGCTTGTCCCATTAAAATAGGCTGGTGTGATATCTTTTTCAGACACTTTCAGTTGTAATGTGTGGATTATTTTGTGTGTATGTGAATATTTGTATTATTGGTATTTATTGACAAGCAAAAAATATACAGGAAAATTATGTACAAGTATAAATGAACTGATATTTGAGGAAGTTGTAACATGCTGTTATTACCCAGTCATCTTGAACGGGATCGGGATTTGAACTTTTACAAAGATAAATGGTCAGGAATCAATTCCAGGCAAAATTCACAAGTAGAGCAAGCAGTTAGCAAAGAACAGCACCATGGAGAGCTTCCTGCAGAACCATCCTATGCTATTACTGAATCAGATTATCTAGTTAAGTCTCATGGTAGGATAGCAGGCCCAAATCTCAGTCTGGGAATTAGTTTCCTGCTTTCCTTGTTGCAAGATATAAGCTATTCCAAGTAAAGCTGCCTTTTGTAATTGACTGATGGTGATTTTTGTTAATGCCAAAGGTATTGGAGTCTTGCTCCAGATCTTTTGGGATTGCGCCTAAGGCCTATTACTATAGTATTGTCTTTGTTTTCTTCTGCCATAGTCATTCTACTTCTATTTGCAGGTCTTTATAGCTAGTAGGTTTTCTTACAATTCTTTGTCTTTTATTCAGCTGTTGCCCCAGGTATTGCAGTGTCCACTATCCAGACTTTTTTGTCTTTCTTTTTAACAATTGTTAAGTCTGGGCTGTTGTGTATCAGATGCCTGTCTGTTATTATTTCAATTGTTATTTCCAACCAGTTTTGAATTCAGTGAAAACTGAGTTCATGCTGAATGGCTTTCTCCTCTTGTGAGAGTTGAAAGGTGAAGCTGGCAACACCAGAAACAAAGAACCTGAGGAAGATGAGACTATTATCAAAACATGGTGTAGATGTCTTCCATGTCCAAGGTTGAGAAACAAACAGCGTGGAAGGACAAGAGAAAGAAACCTAAAATTTAACCTTTGCACCATTATAAATTATAGGATAGGTTGCCTATATTCTTCTGTAGCTGATCTTTGTTATTAGGTATCTCAACAATCTCAGCAATGTACCTATCCATAATAAAGAATCTAAAGCATTCATATGCTGAAGAATGCTTTAGATTCAAGAGTGATGAAACTTTGGCAGCCAAATAATTCATAGAGAAACAGCACATGATATTCCTACTCCCATGAAATATTAGAGCTGTCACTTAACAGATAGTGAAACTGATATCCTGGAGAGGGAAGAATATTTGAAAACAAGCTGTCCCAAGAGAACCGTGTGTGATGTGCACTTTTTTCTTCCATTATAATACCAGTTGGCAGGCCTGAAGTTCCAATGAAAAAGATGGCTTCCAGGTAGCTATTCACAGTATTAGTTACCACAATGGTTATAGTTGCAAGTTGTATGAGCCGCAGTGGCACAGTGGTTAGAGTGTAGTACTGCAAGCTACTTCTGCTGATCACCAGCTGCTAGCTGTTTGGCAGATCGAATCTCACCAAGCTCAAGGTTGAGTAAGCCTTCTATCCTTCCGAGGGGGGTAAAATGAGGACTCAAATTGTTGGGGGCAATAGGCTGACTCTGTAAATCTGTTTAGAGAAGGCTGTAAAGCACTGTGAAGCAGTATATAAGTCTAAGTGCTAAGTTCTCCTAAATGCTAATTGAGTTTCAAGAATGAGGTTTGTTGTATCTTGTGTAAAATTCTGATTCCTATGGCATCACAATGCTATTACTCAATGTAATTCTCACTTTTAAAAAAATTATTTCAAGTTAAGATGCATATGCAATTTAATTGAAAAAGTATCAGTGCCATATTTTAACATTTGTATTTCAGAAGAGTACAAAGAGTGCATTTCAATAAGTAAGTGGTTGATTACATCAGGGTTGGTGCTATCTATATAATCATGTATCTATTTCGGAGGAGGGAGGGAGGGAGGGAGAAAGAGAGAGAGAGAGAGATGAAACTTACATCAAAGAAATTCTTATTCTTAAGATTTATCTGTGCATCCTCTTGTGTATCCAAAATATAGCACTTTCTTGAAAATTTAAAAAAAAATGTTTTTGCTCAAAAAAAGAAAACATGAAACCTTTACTGTTTATTTCAAACCATATATATCTTGGATATATGCAGGATGTGTTTGCTTCAAGTTTTATTGTTTTTCAAGAGTACCTTTTCCAAATTGCACTTGAAGTAATCAAAGGTCCTTTGACTTTAGGCATACCTCCTATCTGAAAGAAAAAAGTCTTAAGATTAGAATTCCATATCTAATAAAAAGTTTCATAAAATATAATACACACTCTTGTTTTATCAAAGTGGGACTATTTCCTAGAAATGTGCATGATGGTGTTCACATTGCAAAGCTGGATTTTTTTTGCCTAATACAATGTCTAGTTAACAAGTGTGCTTGATAACCCTAAGATGACACTTTTCCTTTTAAAATGTATCACCAGTTCTTATAATATAGGAAAGTGCCTTACTACAGCTTAGTAACCAGCTGTCTATTTAGTGCAGTTACCTGTTCCAACTAGCAGCAACTTTTAGAAATCTAATTCCACCCTGTTCTCATCAATCACTACCTAATCCTTTTAACTAGAGGTGTCAGGAACTGAAGCAAGGAATTTCTATATGTTAATCAGATGTGCTGACCCACTCTTCTAATTATGAAAAGTCTAAAAATACAACAATGTATCCACAATGGGTTGGTAAACTAGATGCCAGCTCAAATCTTCTGATATATATTTGAGTGTGTGTGTGTGTCCCCATTACAATGTCCAGCACAGATTTTTTTTTTAAATGCCTCTCCTCAAAACTCAGCTGGAATAATTTAAGAAAGACTATATATTTACCCAAATAAATAGGCTATGATGAACAAGTGACACGGGTTTAATACTCCCACCTACCTATAGTGCTAGTCTCTTCCCAGATGATGAAACTGTACTAATTTCTCATTTGTTTGTTTGTTTGTTTGTTTGTTACATTTATGTGCCACCTATCTCATCTAAAAGCACACTTTTTGATTCCTCCATATCAATGTTCATTGTTACCCAAACATTTGGATTTTGGTTTGCAGGGATTGGGGGGAACATCAGAGTAAACCGGATACATAATCTGTTATTCTGGAGAATTTGGCAGGAGTCACATGTTGATACAACAGTGTTGAAACCTGGGCAGCCAAATAATTCACAGAGAAACTGCACATAGCAATAGCACTTAGACTTTTATACCACTTTATAGTGCTTTACAGCCCTTTCTAAGCGGTTTACGGAGTCAGCATATTGCCTCCAACAATCTGTGTCCTCATTTTACCCACCTCGGAAGGATGGAAGGCTGAGTCAACCTTGAGCCTGGTGGGATTTGAACTACCAAATTGCAGGCAGCTGACAGTCAACAGAAGTAGCCTACAGTACTGCACTCTAACCACTGTGCCACCAAGGCTCATGGTACTGCTACTCCCATTAAATATTAGAGCTGTCCCTTAACAGATAGCGAAGCTGATATGCTAGAGAGGGAAGAATATTTGAAGACAATATTTGAAGCTGTCCCAAGAGAGCCATTCCTAAGCACATGTGATGTGGACTTTTCTCTTCCATATCTTATGGCTATTACTCGCAGTAATAGTTAACACAATACTTACAGAAAGTTGCAGGTTCTTCCTGCTGCTAAAGTAAAGATAACCTTAGGAATGCTGCATAATTGCTAGAAAGAATAACAGTGATGCTCAACAGTGACATGAATGCAAGTTCAGGATATCTGACCCTGTCCTCTGTGTGCACTTCCAGGGTGTGAGCTACGTTTGACATGTGCTGCCTGACTGAGGAACTACTGCATTAGTTGTCTGAAGGAGCACTGCCTTGGCAATTCAAAAGGTAGGTGTGTTTTAATTCTGCTCCCATACTGCTACTTATTTGATTATCAATTTATTGTATTTATATCCTGCCTTGTTTTCTTGGAGATTGAGATAGTTTGCATGAGAGATCGCCCCTAATTTTATCAACACAGCAATAATCAGTTGAGCTGGGAGATAATGGCATCAACTAATAAATGCTGTGGTGGACTGGAGATTTGAACCTAGCCTTCCCAGGTTGACCTTGTTGCTGTTCCTGATTTTCTTGCAATTATGGATTTGTCAATGACAGCAAATGCAATTTTTCCAGCTACTTTGTTGAATTTACATAGAGAAAGGTATAGATTGCTAACTTGGCTCTAGGATGTTTTGAGAGGAGATTCTCTCTTCAAAACAGGTGGCAGAGTTTCAGAAGAAAATAAATGTTTGTATCCTTTGCTTATCCCAGTTGTTTGTCCTGATAGAATATTTGAAGCAATAGAAAAGAATATTAAGTACAAAGCAAACTCCTGTGGATCCAGTTACTGAAGCCCTAGTGATACAGTGGTTAGAATGTAGTACTGCAGACAAATTGCTCACAACCGGGAGTTTAATCCTGATGGGCTCTAAGTTGACTCAGCCTTCCATCCTTCCAAGGTCAGTAAAATGAGGACCCACATTGTTGGGGGCAATATGCTGACTCTGTAAACCGCCCAGAGAGTACTGCAAAGCACTATGGGGCAGTATATAAATCTAAGTGCTATTGCTATTGCTACTGGAGTATCCCAGCATGAGAGTTGTGTATCGTATGTATCCTATAATTGAATATAGAAATGGACATGTAAAACAGGGGGTCTAAAAATAAGGAGAGAATAAATGCCTGCATTACTAACTACCAAATTTGGTGTGGGCCTAATTTGGTGGTTTGAAAGATAGCTTCTGATTTAATTTAAGCAGGATGTCTGATTTAACATCAAACCTGAAATTAAAGTGAAATTTTAGAAACCATACCATTCGCACTGAGTAACATGGGAATGGCTGTCAATTTTATTTTTTAATAGAATGGAATTTGCAGACTGAGAGAAAACTCTGACCAGATGTAGATAAATAATCAAGTTTCATTTGGGTCAGATTGATTTCTGATGGCTATGTGGATGTAGGATAGAATATTTTTTAAAACAGTTCCATCTATTCTGTAGCTTTGGAATTTAGCAGTGATCTTCAATCCAAGTACTAATTAGGTCTGACCCTACTTAGCTTTTCAAGATCATTCAAGTTCTGTAGTGCTGCCAGTTAGCTGGGCAATTTGAGTTAAATTATTTTGCATGACATATCGTTACTTAGATTTTAAAAAAATAGAAAGTACCTACAACATTTTTGTTTGCTTTGGATTGAATTAGTTGACAAATATCAGCATATTCACTTGTATAATATTTAACAACTCTTTCCTAAAGTTCTGTGATTGTATAACATCTAATGGACAATTCTTGATGATTGCTTGAACTTTCAGTCATTGCTCTTTTTTTTCAGTTGGTACAATGTTTATTTTACTGAACAGCAAAACTCATTTATTTTTTTGCTGGCATAGTCCTTACTTCCTGTAGCATAGTAGAGGACACTATTGTGAATGAAATGTTCGGATTCATCTCTGATCTCTTTGGAAAAACTACATGAGAAGTCTAAAGAATCCTGTTTTGATCAAATCCAGTGCAAATATCATTTCTGTAGATATTACTTCACTTCGTTGTACATTATTATGAGTGAACTACAGTTCCATCTTATATTATTTATGCTTAATTATAATCACTGGTTCAGACTAGGCTGCCTTTGCATATAAATAACTTAGCAACTCCAGTTAAGAGTTAAAAAGATATCTAGTACCGAATTATAACTAATTATAATTAATTATAATTATATTATAAGAGCCGAGGTGGCTCAGAGGTTAGAGTGCAGTTCTATAGGCTACTTCAGTTGACTGCTAACTGCAGTTCGGCAGTTCAAATCTCACCGGCTCAACATTGCCTCAGCCTTCCATCCTTCCAAGGTGGGTAAAATGAGGACCCAGTTTGTTGGGGGCAATATGCTGACTCTGTAAACCACTTAGAGAGTGCTGTAAAAGCACTATGAAGCAGTATATACCATATTTTTCAGAGTATAAGACACACCGGAGTATAAGATTCAGCTTAGTTTTTGGGGAGGAAAATGGGGGGTAAAATCTGCCTACCAGGTATTCATCTGGCTAGCATCCTTAGTCTGATCAGCTTCAGCACATTAGTTTGCTGGTTTTGAGCGTGCGCTTGCACTTTTTATCCCCTGCTTGGGGATAAAAAACAGCTTCTAAAGCACAGCTGATCTTTGGGGAGAAAAGCAGGCGAAGCTCGGAAGATTGCTTCACTCGCTAGCGTCTCGTTAGGGCTGAAAAACAACTTCTAAAACACAGCTGAAAGTCGGAGGAAGCAGGCAAAGCATGGAAGATCGCTTCACTCGCTAGCGCCTCATTAGGGCTAAAAAAAGCTTCGAAAAAGCTACATTTGAAGTATAAGAAACACCCAAATTTTCACCTTTTTTTTTTTTTTAATTTGATTTATATGCCGCCCTTCTCCGGAGACTCAGGGCGGCTTACAATGTGCTTAGCAATAGCCTTCATCCTTTGTATATTTATACAAAGTCAGCTTATTGCCCCCATAACTGGGTCCTCAATTTACCTACCTTAGAAAGGATGGAAGGCTGAGTCAACCTTGAGCCTTGGTGAGATTCGAACCTGCAGTAATTGCAGGCAGCTGGTCTTAATAACCAGCTTAATAACAGGGTTCCTTAGACCACTGTACTACCAAGGCTCTTTTAGGGGGGGAAGTGCGTTTTATACTCTGAAAAATACGGTAAGTCTAAGTGCTATTGCTATTACTAATTAATGACTAGTGTAGCTGATCATTAAATAGAATTATTCAATGCTTTGCATACTTCTTTACCTTTTTCTTTGATTAGCAAAGATGAAGAAATGACACAAATAACCAGCTATATTGAAATGAGTTAATTTCATTCTACAACACCATGAGTTGATCTGTTTATGGAAATGGATAATATTTCTGCTATGAAGTTGCATGACCCCTTGGCATTGCCTGGACTTTATCCTATGCATCTTTGATATGGGGCAGTGGTGGGTTTCAACCGGTGTTACCACCAGTTCGCTTCGTGCATGTGCTTTGTGCACACTTTGCTCGCACACATGCTGAACTTTCATTCCACACACATTCCATTTCAGAACAGCTGAGGCATGGCAATTCACTCTGCCACACCTATCAGCTGGGCTAAAAATGAGCAAATATAGGTAAGTATAGGGGTGAGCAGGAGGGCCCAGCTGACGGAGCGAACCGGTTCGCTCTCACCTCACCATCGCCGCTATCAACTCGCCTGAACCGGGGAGACCAGGTAGCAACCCACCACTGATATGGGGCTAGGTTCCAAATGTGAATCGGCCTACATACAAAACATGTGCATCATTCTTCCATAAAATCAGAAACACATAAAAAGCAGAGAAATGAACAGGATGCTTTTAAACATTCCTATATCTTATCCATTGAGTAGAGATGGTTGGTTTCCTCAAAGCTCAATCAATATTTTGCCTTTTGTCATCTTTGAAACATCTCTTAATTTTTTGCTATGGGACAAAGAGCTTTCTTTCATCCCGGGCCTCCTGATTATAAGTAGAGGGAACTAAGGGCAATTAAGAGCCCTGGTGGCGCAGCAAACTAAAGCACTGTTATTAACATCAGCTGCCTGCAATTACTGCAAGTTCAAATCTCACCAGCCGTCCTGAGTCTCCGGAGAAGGGCGGCATATAAATCAAATTTAAAAAAAAAATAGTACTATATTCTCTACACAGCTTCTTTTACTTATCCTTATGTAATGCATGGTGCACTGTCATAAATATAAGTAGGCTGGACTCCTACCCAAGGGGCATTTATGTATTGCATAGGAATGTAAAATTTTATCAATGCCTCCTGAAGAAGCCAAAAGTTGCTATTGCCTAATGGTAACATTTAAGATTGAATGCTTTATAGATATTTGGTAGGAAATTATAGTTAGGCATTTTTGCTAGAAATAGTTGCAATTTAAACAGAAATCTTAAATCTTGTAAGAAAAGCAATTATCACTGTTGTAGTCAATGACCTAGAATATTGATTTTAGGAGGGAAAAAAATCAGAGACTTAAAACCTTGCAAAGCAAAGCTAAACAAGGAAGGGTTGTTGTATGCATATTTAATAATGCATAGTTCTAAGACTTGAAACCCAATTCCATTTGGCAGAGCCATAAGATTAAAGAACAACTTTAGGGAAACCAGAATGGGTAAATAGCATTCCATTCTAGTTTCTTTACGGGTATTTCCTAGTCATTAGATAACAAACAACATGTCTGACATAAATAGGATTTGGTTATAATACATTTTAGCTGTAAAATATACATTCAAGAGAAGAACCTTTTTTTTTTCAACAACTATTTTCTTATTTCACTAATTCCTGCCCTTCTTGCATTGTGTATTGCATTTTCTAGATTTTCCAGCTCTATGTGGAAACATTCGTTGTCCACTTTGCTGCCCATTGCTAAACAGGGAATCTTTCTCATATGGGTTGAAGAGTCACAGCACCTCTAGAAGTCTTTTCCCCATAATAAAAGTCTTTTCTTTCCTCTTGATCTCAGTGCAAAAACATATCTGGGATTGTGTTTGTGCTTTTTGGTGAGAATTAAGTCTTGCTGAAATCCATTTCATGAGAATACTCACAACATGTTTTCAAAATTTCAAATGTGCCAATATCCCCTCAAAAATGCCAGAAAGGAAGAACCATAACTGAGTGATAGAATCATAGATTTATGGGTAAAAGTACTCACATCTTATTTTCTGGTATTCTAAAAAAGCCTTTCCAAAACTCCAGAAACTGATCAGTCATTATAAACCATATTGAGTTAGATAGATCAATGATACCATTCCAGCTATATTTCGTGGAATGTTCAAAAAATTAGGCCCATAAAGTTAATGCCTTGGTG